TAAAAACACTTTAGGACATTCCTTTAGAAACTTCTTATACTGTATTATAGTAGGTGAAAGGTTGTTGTTACTGATATTCATATACTATTTTAAAAACATATATACTTTCAGGGGTAGTATGTAGATAGGCAAATAGTTCGACAGGTAACCGAGTTCCATTTAGACAACTGATGGAGTTACATAAATTTTGTAATTCTGATGGGAGTACAAACTTACCAAACATAAGAAGGAAAAGAGATAGAATAATGAATATTTTATGCCTGAATTATTTTAAAATTACAAAAATGTTTTAACTGCATATTGTTTAATTTCATTGAGGTATTTCCTCATTCATCATTGTGAAATCAGGTAAAAATATTTGCCAAACAAACTGTATCTCATTAGAGGCTAAAAATAATTTTACCTGTAGTAAATTCGAAGTGTCTGGATTTCTTCCTCCAGTTTTTTGGATTGCTGAACTGCAGTTTCTCTGGCTTGTTGCATACATAATAACTTTGCCTGAAAATAATTAATATTTTAAGAAAATTTAATATTAGTTTTGGTGTGTTAAAATACAGCACTACAGTATGAAGTTTTAAATCTTAAGTTTCTGGTAGTTTTAAAATGTATCCATACTTTCAGTACTGTCTCATAGTTTACCATAAAACAGTGTAATTATATCAGTCATAAAAACACTAAAGACATGAACATATAAAATTTACCAACTTAGCTCATTACTATACTTCAGTTTTATTTATCTGTATCATCAGATATGCCCTTCTGCAATGTTTAACTTTATATACAGAATTCAGAAAGTGGAACATGGGTTCAGAGCAATATCTAGAGTAGAGATAAGCACAATGGGTGTTTCACATACAAATTTAATGTGGCTCCACTGCTTAATCACACTAGATTTTCTTTTAACTTTATTAATAGCAGAAGTCAGAAAATTCTAAATATGTTGCCAGGCCATCTTCCATATTTCATATAAAAAAATACACAGGACTACAACCTGATTCTTACAGATATGATTTAACCTTTTCAATTCCTTTTCTGCAGAGACAAAGAAAAAAAAAATCCTTAAAGGGATAATGTCAGACATCCTGAATGCTAGCGATATTTTATTTAAGGGATGGTATTCTCTCTCCTTGATT